GCGTTGGCTTTCCCCGGCGAATGGCCCCCAAGAAATTCAAGGGGGGGGGGGGGGGGGATTCACACAAGGTCCCCAGATAATACTAATCCCGTGCGAATAGGGCTTTAGTCTAAGCCCTGTCTGTGAAACCAGCCCTTTACTATTTAGTTTATTATTTTATTTAAAAAAAACTAAATGAATAAAGTGCAACAATAGTATTACTACGATTCATTTATTTTTTATAGTTGTATTTAACGGGTTACACTATGTGGAGTGAGAGGACCAAACCAAATCTTCAAAACCTCAAGACAAATATCAGGCTGAAAAACGTATGTGCAACCCTGACTATAATGGTAAACATTAGGAGTATTATGAGTGTTACATACAGGAGGTGGAGAGCTGGGTTCTAAATGCCGTCCCAGAAAAGAGAGAAGTCTTCTCCAGATGAGTCCACTGCCCAGGAACATGAACCCTGTCACTAACCAAAACACACGCGGGTCCTACACACACACAAATCAATGTGGGTCAATAAACAACATGTACTCAAACAGACTGATAACACTGTACACAATGCTGGCTATAACAACTGAGGTAAACTGGTACACAGTAATAAAACAGTAAACTGAAGTAAAATGGTACCAACCTCTTCAAAAGAAGATTCTAAATTCATTCCAAAAGCCACACCCATCAGACCAAATAAAGAGAGCGAGAAGGTTCCCATGGTGAGCTGGAGGTTCAGTCGCATCATGACATTACGGTGGCTAAAGACAATTTAAGGCAACATACTACTGGTAAATAGAGTGAAATTTTAACTTAACAATTTGTTTTCAATAACAGTTATCATTATACTTCCCCAGTTAATTAATCTCAGTACAGTAAAGGGATAGTTCACCCCAAAATGAAAATTCTGTCATTAATTACTCTCTTACCCTCATGTTGTTCCAAACCCGTAAGACCTCCGTTCATCTTCTGAAGACAAATTAAGATATTTTTGATGAAATCTGAGAGCTCTGTGACCCTGCATAGACAGCAACGCAACTGTAAAGGACATTGGTAAAACAGTCCATGTGACATCAGGGTCACAGAGCTCTCAGATTTCATCGAATACATCTTAGGCCCCATTTACACTAGTGCGTTTTGGTTTTAAAACGGCATTTTAAAATGAAAAGGATCCTCGTCTACACTGGTGTTTTCACTGCGTTTCTGAAACA